CAAATGTATATATATACATATATATTTGATTATTTCTCCCTCCTCCCTCCCCTAGCCTTCAAATGTCATGTGTCCACTTAGATTATAAGTTTTATGGGTAGGAACCATGTCTTCATGTGTTTGTACAGCACTTAGCATGATCCTGACTAGAGTCTCTGGGTGATACTTTATATATTATTATATTACTATGAAATGTATGTTTGCAGTATATAAAATTGCCTGGTGCTTTCATTGGTAAGCAATGATACCACTTGTTGGCTACTTTTACAATAATAGTGAGAAAGCATTTTTGTTCTTACCAGAGAATAAATGAATAATGAATTCCTCAGTGAATTACCTCTCCACTCTGGAAGAAAATGCAACTGTGTTCATGATGACTTTTCACAGGCTAAGGATTGTTGGGGAGGATTTTTGTGAGCCCCGTCCACTCAGTTAAAATAATATCACGATGGCATCTTCAACAGCCCAGCTTTCTTTTAAAATTATATCCCAGTGCATAGATCCTATTTTGGTTTGTTAGTGCCTGCCTTGTGTGGGGGGCATGTGGTGTCATGTGCGCCCCCTCCCACCCCAGATTTGCTGCTTGGCTTGGACTGAGCGTGCTCAGTAACATTTGCTGAAGCCTCTGCCCCCCAACTTTCAGTAGGTACTGGTTGTCTCTGGCAGAGAGGGAGTGTTTCCAACCTTAGAAGTCAGTCCAGCAAGACAAATGTATCTTCACCATGACACACAATCACCGCATTCACTGGGGGAGAAAAATGTTGTTATACAGCCTAACATTTTACCGTGTCAATTACTTTGCAGACACTAAAGGCCTAATTCTGATTTTATTCTTTAAAAATAGTATCTAGCAGGATTCTTCTTCTGATTCTTTTCTCCTTAGCATGAGACCAATGGAATTCCCACAGTGCTTAGTTCATAGAATGTTGACCCTTATCAGAAGTAGCAGAAGTGTGGCGTGAGAGTCAGGCCCACTAATGGAATTCATTCACCACCCCATGTCTAGTATAAATGTACTCTTAACATTCCAGTCAGTTCTCTCTTGACTGGCCAGCAGAGAGGCCCATGATTTGCACATCTCTGTCCTTTCAGCTCTTACCAAGTCTGTAGCCTTCCCTTCCTTCCAGTTGGTTCAATAATGATTTCAGTATTTTCAACCCTAAAACCTAAACTTCACTAGAGAAGTTCACCATGCTAAATATCACTTGGTCCCTGTAATAGGAATGCTGGCCCTTTAAGGACTCAGCTTGGTCTGCAGAGCTGTAGTTCATAGAGGGAGTCACTGGTGGGAGGGGCTGGTGGGAGGGACCACTGGTGCAGAGCTGTAGTTCATAGAGGGAGTCACTGGTGGGAGGGGCCACTGGTGGGAGGAGGAGTCATGACTATAAAAAGGACAGCCTATATATATAGAGGAGAGGTGGGGTGAGGTAGAACCTGGGGTAAATTAATCTTTTCATGGTAGGAGAGTGGCAAAGGGAAGGCTCTCTAGTACCAGAGCCTGTGGAAAGACTAGCTGTGTTCTACAGAGAGGAAGCCTAGGGCAGCCTTGGGAATAGATAATAGTTCACTGAGGTAACTTTTGAGTAATTCTTGGTTATTACTGTGAAGAGGGAGCTAGGTAATGAGATGAGTGGGGCTTAGCAAAGGGCTGTTTAGAAAGAGCCTGAGGACAAGACCTGACAGGCACAGACATGAAGAAATAAGAAATGGTACAGGGGTGGCGTAGACTTTGACAGGCTGCTGCTTTGGGTGATAGGGCCAAAGGCCAGAGCTCAGAAAACTTCAGATACCCCTGATACCAGGGCAAAACTGAGAATTGAACTTGGGGAGGACCAAAGGTCTGTGCGTTCAACTTCTTGGAGACTACAAAAAATATTAGGCTTCTCTTTTTTTCCCTCTTCCTCCTCAGACTACTTTGAGTCTTTCTTAGCTTCTTTACTCCAAAGGCTGCCTTTCTATCACTGTCCTGATCCTTAGTCTCTGATTCTCTTTTGCTTGGAATCATGCCCCATCTCCTTCCTTGTTGTTCTAGCCTCCAGTCTAGAGCTGGTTGGAAAAATTCTGCCAAAACATTTTGTTGTTGTTGTTGGAATTTGACAATTTAACCAAATTGAAACCTTTTGTGGAGACAGTTAGACTTTTACAAAGTTCTGATGAAACTCTCGCTGCTAGCCAGGTCCTCCCATTTTCACTAGCACCAACATTTTCTTACCACAACATTCTCCTTCTCATTCCCGTCTAAATCCTCCTTTTTCTCTACAGTGTGTTAGCCAATCTCAACTATTCAAAAATCATGATAGACCCTCTCCTCCCACAAGAACCATGAGAATTTAAAAAATATTGGGTTCTTTTTTACTTCTTTTTCTTAGCATTTAGAATCTACTTGGTTTCTAGTTTCAGGATTTTCTATGCAACCATAGGAGATAGAAACTTACTTTTGAATGAAAGCTGAGATACTCAGTTTAATGAGATGGACCTTTAAAAAACAGTGTCACAAGATTTATGATAGAATAATGAGAATCGGCAACACTGCTTATGCCTGGTTCTGATATGATGAATGGTGAGGGTCATCTTAACGGAGGACAGTCTGGTGTTAGATGCATTGAAAACTATGAAGGACCTTGGCCATTGTTATGAGAATCAGCTCCTCCACCTGAAAAGCTGTATGGAAATAGTCATTCTCGCTGAGGTGAGCCTTTGGCTTCAGCCTTTTGGAGAACAATGGGAGAAAGTAGCCATTCTTAGTAACGGCAAGAAAATCCTAGCTGTCTCTTGACATCACAAACATCTTAAAAATACTATAGAAAGTAATAACTTCTCAGGCCATCATTCTAGGGGATGGTGGTGACAAATAATACTGAGATTGAGGCAGTTGGTCTGTGCTGGGATAGAGGCTGTGAGTGCCTGGTTACTTCTGTATCTGTTTCTGATAAAGTCTCAGTTTTGTTTAACTAACAATGTCTGAGACACAATTGTGTGGTGGATTCTACAAAATGCTTCCATGTCATATAGACTCACAATAACGTAAGAGTGTTTTGAGTTATGCGGCCCTTCCTTTAGTGCTTCAGTGCATTCTTGTAGTGTTTTCAATTGTTATTGTTACAATACTCCAGCTCTACTTCTGATTGTTCCAGTTCTTATTATTAGCATTGATCTTTTCTTGCTGCTAGCTATAGTCTTACCTACATGTATATTCCCTTTGGCTTTATATTCTGCACAAGCCAGAACCGTGTTAGGTGGTTTCTTTAGAGAAAGGAAAATGCCTTACTTTTTACTGCTGTAACTAGAACTTGGCTAAAGATATCATTCCAAGAAGATTCTCAGTCTCTCACTAATATCCCTGTGAGGATTTGGGGTTACCTTTGTAATTTGTCTTGCTGTTTTTTAGTTCTTTTCCTTCTGTGGGGCATATTTTCATTCATAATCACTTGGAAGTGTCTTAGCATCTTGGAACTCCACCTTTCATACCCCTGAAACATCTGAATGGAGTAGCTGGAAAGCAGAATACATATTCGACAGAGGGTACTACACTACATTCAGTAAGAGCCTTGGCTCTTGGGGAGTTCTGCCAGTCTTATACTAAGGAGCTAAGACCCATGGACGAGAATCCTGTTGGAGTTTCATCTTCAGAGAAGCATACCTACAATTAAGTAGTTTCCCCTTAGTGTCTTATACAACACCAAGCACACTGTTGGCATGTAAATATCAAATAATGAATAGTACCAGATGGCTAACACTATATCTTCTGATTTTTTTTCTCTCCTAGACAGAAAGGGAGTGTCTGATAGAGGCAGAAAACTGCATAGTGTGTGTAATTGTATTTTTATTTCTTTCCTATGATTTATTTATCGGTAACTTACAGTGCAAATTAGAGAACAAACTTTTTTTAAAAAAGAAGCTAAGAAGCTCTCTTAAAACATGATCAAAATGTGGCTAACAAATTAAAATATTTTACATAGGACCTGATCCTGTGAGTCACTGAGTGATCTCAATTCCCATTATAGTCAACGGGTTGAATTCTGCTTACACCAGTTTAAATATGGAGTAGCTTCATTTAGTTGTATACAGTACTCCAACTAATATATTGAGCCAGAAGTTGAAAGCAACTGATAAAGTCATGCCTTGAAGTGCAGTTTTGTATGCTGGGGACATTTTGAAGAGACAGACTGAAAAAATAAGATGATTTTCCCTAGATAAAATAGCCATGACCAGGGCTTAAATTCAGCTGGAGCTGTCCGGAACAGAGCTCTGGTAAATATTTTCAACCCCCCCTGGAGTTTTCATAGCATGCTGGGGGGGGGGGGGGGAAGGGGGAAGAGTGTGTGTGGGGGGGCTCAGTGAAATACTCTATGAGAGTAGTTGGTTTTAATTAGTTTCATTTTGGTTAACATTCTACAATAACAGCGGAAAAATTGGGAGTAATTCCACTGATTTCAGTTTCTACAGAGTTGCTCCTGATTTACAACAGTATAACTGAGAACAGAATTTGTTCTCTTGGTAGCAAGCAGATAGGGATCGTGAGCATTTTACTGGGTTGTGCTGCAGAGACTCCAGGGATAAAGAGGCTCAGCTGGACCCAGTCATATGGAAGAAGCTGTGAACTCCCTGGAGCATTTACAAACTACTTGCTGATGACCTGGGCTTCTCTGGTGGTGTCCTCTGTGCATGGGGAATCACCTTCTCATGTCACTGAGGTTAGATTTTTTTTTAAATTGCCTTGTGTTGAATTCAGGAGGAAGAATAAATTCAATTCAGTAAAGATACAACTTTAAACCTGATGTATGTAAATTTTTCTATGAATGCTAGAATTTTCTTGCAATAGGCAATATTTTTAGGAGGATATCCCAGAGAAACACTGAACATGCATTTTACACTGTTGGAATGGAACAGAAGAGGAAATTAGTTTTCCTTTAAAAAGAAAACTAGATCTGTCACTCAGATATAAATAAAGCAGCATGATGCTGACCCATTGCTTATTTAAAGGTATATAGAGTCACATTCATGCCCTTGAATTTTCAGAAAACATTTGTTCACAAGATTATTGTATAATTTACATAAAATGTGGGTTTTTTAAATATGGAAAAATAGAATATCATTCTTCAAACCCTCTCTTCAGTCAAGGTGAAATACTCAATGGCATGCTTGAGATGTTTACAAGGTAGGTTTACAAGGTAGGTATGCAAGATTGTTTTGCTTTTCGCAGGCTAACTACACCAATGCATGCAACCCGCCCCCAGCCCCTTTCGTTATCTGTCTCTTCCTCACAGACGCTTGAGTTTTTTCCGCACAGAGGTGTTTAAGGTGTGTGACAAAAATCTCAGGTCTGAAAAAGAACTTAGTGTGTGAGAGCGTTGGCGGGAGGAAGGAGAGATGGAGTGAAGATGCTGAAACTGCATAGACCTTGCAGTTGTTTTTTCTAGCTCTCTTGCCAATATTAAACAGTCCCTAGGAATCTGTGGTTGCGGCGATCGCTACAGGAAAGGAAGCGCAGTTGATGTCTTCACCCAGCTTCAGGAGAACTCTGTCCCTGTTTCCACCCTAGTACTAAGCAGCAGCAGCAGTCGGTGCAGCTGCCGCCAGCCTCACTGGGAAGGCAGGTCGCTTGTTAGGGGCTAGGGTTTCTCGTTCTCGCTGAACTTTCATTCATTGTTTGCGTTTCCCCAGTTCCTCTTCCACTCACCTCCTCCCCCCCCCCCCCAGACTTGGAGGTCTGGAGCCAGCCAGCCAATGAACGCTTCCCTTGCGGTTTTGGGCGTGGCCGGAGGAGGCGAGGCTCCGCCGCCCCTATATAAGGGGCAGAGCGTGGGGAACTTCTGGCTTGGTGTTGTTTACGGGAGAGGTGCTTGGATGTTTGCGACAGCAGGGCGAGAAGGCGGAGGAAGAGGCAAGGCGGAGGGTCCTGGTATCTGTGGCAAAAGCTGCTGGAAGCTTCCTGTTTGCTAAAGAGCCAAGCAGCAGCAGCTTGGAAAGCGCTGGCCCAGGTTTTTGTGTCGCCCTGGGAAGCACTTTCTGCAGCGCTAGCAGTGACACACACCTTGCAACGGGGAAGCGAAGCGGCCTGCGTATGTGTCTCATCCTATTGTTCAAACTGAGAGACTTAAGGGGGTGAAGGAAGGAGCTTGCGTGTTGTCTCTCTTGTCCCACCCCCTCCCCCTATTCTCCTCTCCCTGTGTGCAGGAGGAGACCAGCCGCCTGGGAGCTACAGGGGCTGGAGCCAGCTCTGGACTGTTTTATACAGACATCCCCCCCCCCTCAGGTGCGCCTGCGGGAATCGGGGAGGGGAACGGAAACCTTTCCCAGGCATTCTCCCTTCCCAGGCTGGGGAAAGGAAAGTTCTCCCTTCAGCTCCTCTGCATAGCCATCGCAGGAGCTGCTGAACTGTCTTCCCCTACACGACCCCCACCGTTCCTACCTTTCCCATCAGGTGCCTGCTGCTGCGGCAGAGCTGCTGTATCCGGGAGACGAGAGGGAACACACACTACGTTCGCTAGCGTTGCTGTCTCGCTGTGCTCCCAGGATCGTCAGGGCATCGATAGCTGTGATCTGTCACCGAGGAGGAGGAGGAGCTGGATGAGCGCTCTCTGCAGCAGGGCAACGGATCACTTCTCAAACTGCTCCTGATTGTCTTGCTCCGGGAATAGCTCTTTCCTGCGAAACTTGGCTTTGGGAGCTTACAACCCAACATCATCTTGTGTGTTGACTCTCTTCTCTTCCCTTCCCCCCCCCACCCCCGAGGCAGTTTGATGAATGCTTTGGGAGTGAGGTATGATTTGCTGAGGCTCCTCTTGCAGAAGTGTGTGTGTGTGCAGTTGCAGAGCGAGCCCCCACCCCCTTGCAAGACTGTAACCAGCCCGTCGGTGGGGGAAGCGTGTGTGTGAGCCGCTCTGCCCAAGTGCTGTGAATCGCTCGCGTGTGGTGCCGCTGGGCGATTGGTCGCAATGCAGTTCTATGGGAAACATGCAGCTTTAAGCAAACGTGGGGTCCGTGGCTTCTAGCGGGGTGGGGGGATCGTTAAAAGGGACAAGGAGGAGGAAGAAGCGGAGTCACCCAGCTCTGCCCTTTCCGGAATCGGTGGCTTTGCTTCGCATTTGCAGGGAGTGTGTGCGCCAAGAACAAGTCCTGCATCTTCTCTGCCACCAGAAGGGCTACGAGACCCCGGCTCGCCCCCCCCAGCGAAGTTGGTTCCAGGGGCGGAGTGGTGCCACCCTTCTTACCTTGCCAGGGATTTTTGGTTCCGCCTCGGATCGCGAAGGACTCCGGTTGCTTTCTCATACGCTTCAAGTTGCCCAAGTACTCGCTCCGCTGAGGAGCAGGAGTGCGGTTGTGTCCTGTGTTATCTGCGGGGCGGTCTGCCTCTCTCCCCGCTCCTCCCTGGCCCGGGGGCCAATGCTGCAGGGCTCGACGGCGGCGCAGGCTCGGCGGCGGAGGATGGGCGGCTTCGGGAGGCTCTCCCTGGGGCTCGTGCTGCTGGCGCTCCTGAGCGAGGTGGCGGCGCAGCCCTGCCCGGCTCAGTGCTCCTGTTCCGGCAGCACCGTGGACTGTCACGGGCTGGCGCTGCGGAGCGTCCCGAGGAACATCCCCCGCAACACCGAAAGGCTGTAAGTAACCCCCAGAGCCACTGGAGCACAGCGCCTCGCTCCCTACCCCATGCGCGCTTCGCCCTCCCCGGGGGGCTGTGGTATGTGGGGCGGGGGGCGCCGTCCCTCCAGCAGCACCCCAGTTGGCCGTGTGATTGGACTCTCCCATCCCTGTGGAGCCGCCTCGCTGCAGAGCGCCTGGGGTGGGGCAGGTGACACTCCCTGGAGGCTCTGGTTAGGTTTCAGACACTCCTGGGCCGGTTCCCGCTCGCCTCATGGTGGGCTCCAGGGTAACGCTAGGAGACATGAAAGAGGGAAACCATTCGTTCCACCGCCTCGCCTTTCCCACTAGAAAGGCGGCAGGAGGCGAGTCCGCCTCTCCTCTCGCGCGGCCGCTGGCTGCAGGGTAAGAGGAGGCGACACATAGGGTGGCAGTTTCCCCTGCGCTGTATGTCGGGGTGCCTCGCTTGCCGTCCTGCCCCCTCCCCGTGAATGAGGGGGGGAGTTTTGTCATTGCCAATTAAACTTCGCTCTGGCTTTTAAAATGGGGGCAGGGAACCGGAGCCGGCTGGGACCGCTCGCCCCAAGGGGCTCGGCTTAGCTACCCAAGTTCTGCTTCCCTTTCCCCTTCCTGCGGCGTGTCCCTTTCTGCCCAGCTCCCAGGCGGTGTGCAAAACCAGGACTCGGCAAGGAGGCCCTTGAGTGTTGGGACAGAGCGCCCCGGCGGCGGGCAAACGGCAATTAACCCCCCTACTTTCCTTTTTGCTGCACTGCTTTTCGAAGGGAAGAGTGGAGGGAATTCCCGAGCAGATGCAAAGCGATTGGGGGGGGGGGGGGGGGGCAGAGACTATATTTACACTCCCTCTTCTCCTAGGAAAAAGCTCAAATCCTTCCATGTGTCTTGGCCTCCGGACACAAGCTGCCCTTGCTTTCTCTGCTCCCCTTAAGCGGGCATACAACATGATTTCACCCCAGTTACACATACTACTGCCTCAAGTCACAGCCTTGATTAAACTGTCCCTAGCCCTGATTGACTTCCTCCCCCGTCAAATTAGGATCCAGACCTAAAGAAGAGCTCTCTGTGTATAAGCCCAGAGCTGCTCTCTCTCATCAACAGAAATTGGTCCAATAAAATATATTCTCTCACCCATCTTGTCTCTACTGTCCTGGGACCAACACAGCTACAACAATGCTGCATACAAATTATGATCCATTCAGTTTGTGAAAAGTATACATAATATTCCTGAAAGAGCTGTTGGATCTAATACCATCCTGGCTTCTCCAAAAGGGGTAAGGGGGAAAGGAGGGAGAGAAGAGATTTAAAAAAAATAATTGTCACTTGTTTGTTTCATGCTATTCAAAGCAGTTTAAAGGTTTAAGTATAAACACATCTTACTCTAGCAGTGTCTGCACTCAGACAAATCCCAAAGTGATTCACTGTGATCTTTCTTGTGAAGAAACTGTGCGTGGTTCAGTGGAAACTGTTTCCTGCCACTTTTGCTTAAAATAACAATGTGCTGATTTTTCAAAAAGAATATTATAAATGATCGGTAATCCTAAGGTTAGTTTCTGTGTAACACTGTTTCCCTTATGACTTAGATCAAGGAGGATATTCAAGCCACAGCAAAGCCTGGTTTTACTTGTAATGATTGGAACCAGAGCCAGCTTAGTTCTTGACCTAAGATGCCAGAAAGAGGGGTAGTAACTCCAGAAGGGAAAGTGGTGCTGAAATCTGAACAAAAATGTCAAGGCCTGAATACTATTTCCATCATTGCCTCTGAGTTTGCACTTTACAGTCACAGTGGGGTTTCCTGAGCTGTAAAAGTATGAAAACTAAACTCTTCAAACATAGTATTATAAGGTAAATCCTTATAAATGTAAATCTTTGAAGATCAAGTCTTTTGATTCTTTCTAAGCACTGTTTGCCATAGGAAGTTTAGTAATATATTTATTAAATACACTGCAAAAGTGGTTAGTCAAATTCCTAATTACTTGATTTCTTGACTTACCTGTAACTTGGTCGTAGTTTTTATACTTTTTCAGTTGGTACAGTTAAGAGTTTTCTGTCTAAATGTTGGTTGGTTCTAACTGTAGTTAGATACCAATATTACAAAAACATTAAGATACACTTTTGTGATAAACAAAATTGATGATTCCAAAACTTAGTGTAAACGTGAACTACATAATGGTGAATAGATTTTTTTTTTATAAGGGTCTCTTCTTACAAAGCTTAAAACTATTAACTTTAAAATAAACCAACTTATTGTCAGCAACTCACACAGAGCTAGTGTTAAGAATTAAGTATCAGGCACATTTAAGTTCTTCTTTGGTTTTAAAGCACTAAAGATGAACCCCAACAAAATAATAATTTAAATCCTCTGTTGAATGTTTGTTTCATTTTTCTGCTAATACGTGATTCTTTTTAGGGACCTTAATGGAAATAATATCACAAGAATCACAAAGACTGACTTTACTGGCCTAAGACACCTTCGAGTCCTGTAAGTTCTTGTTGTTACTTTATGCTGTTATGGTGTGTGTTAAAATTACATGATGTAGGTTAGACTTTAAATTTTCAAAAAGTTCTTTTAGCTTTTAAAAAGTAAAGCTGTATATTTTACCACATTTAACTTCTATGCTGCAGCATCTGAACTTAAAATAAATGGGGGCGGAGAAAAGCAATTATGGGGTGACAAAAAAGTTTGGAAAATGCCACAGTAGCAATTTTATATGTAGCCTCTAGTGATTTGTACACTTCCCTTAAAATTACAAATATAGCAAAATAAGTTGAGGCTTTAAATTGGTAGTTTACAAATGCATGAAAAGGGAAATCTTGTATTTTGGTTAAAATTAATTGAAAAGAAACTAGCTGAGTAGACCGCTAGTTTAGGATTATTAAAACATATAGCTGAGTATACACATGTTCAATTTCAAACTGGTGCAAAAGGAAATTCATGAAATGAAAGAAAATGGAAAGTATTTCTTAACCAAAGACCAGCGATATCTATATCTAATCCCAACTCTTCAATTTAAAAATGTTTGCTTTTTCAGAAACTAAAACAATAGGTATTGTATCTTTCTGGATGGATTTTTTAGTCTGGATAGCTTCACGTATATTGTTTAAAGGTCTTTACATTAACTTTTGCTGGTTATAAATTGATTAAATGTGACTTAAGTAAACTGTAATTGTGATTACTGCTATTTTATTCAGTGAAGCTAAATTATTCCTTGGGACTGAATTGTCATAAGTGGAACAATTTTAAGTCTAGAGAAAAATTGTAACGATCTTTTGTTTTAATTATACCCTTTAGATCAAAATACAAATGCTGATGTGTGGTGTTGTGGACATATTTCTACATATTTTCAGTTGATATATAGGTGTATAAACTGAATTGTGAAATATCCACTGAATAATTCTTTTTATTTTCCCTACAAACTGTAGATCAGTTGTACGATATATTTAATTGGAGTTTTATATCATTGCTCCTTAGTAAATGGTATATTTTCTTACCCATGATCTTAATGTCCTTGAGCAGGTTTAAGATCTGCTTTTATGGTTTCCTTTAATGATGAAGAGACTGAGTTCCGCCCCCCCCCCCCCCCCGTTTGTGCACATGTGCCCCCAATGGAGTGACAGGGGTTCTAAATATATTAAATTGGATGTGAAATCTCACTCTGGAATAAGAATTGTAGAGTTAATAAAGGTGAAATGATTGCAAGCTGCCAGTTTCTGAAGTACAGCAATAGCAGGTTTTAATGCAGTCATAATCATAAAGCCGTTAAAACTCACTATGTATATTCTACGTTTCAGTCAGCTCATGGAAAACAAGATTAGCACTATTGAAAGGGGAGCATTCCAGGATTTAAAAGAGCTGGAGAGGCTGTAAGTATTTTTAATTCCAAACATATGACAACATAACTTCTTATAATTTTGTCATTTCACTTGTCTTTCAGGGCACTAGATCTTTGATTTTTATAGTCACTCTTGAAATGTTTGAGAAACAAGAGCCCTAGGCAGTTTTTAGAGAGTACCTACAATGGGTGGAAAATCCTGGCTAAATACTCTGAAGAAAACTGCAATTTACATTTTGAATCTAAAGATAACTTCTTGAACACTAAAAAAATAGTCTACTTTGAATGCACAAGTACTTATGTACATAACTTTTTTTTTCCCACACGGAGCATGAAACTAAAGTTTTTTTTCCCTCTAACCTCCCCCCCCACCCTTTCTTTTCCTTGAGACAAAAGGTGAGATTTTAGTCTTGGTGAAATTTGAGTGTTCACAACGTTGTGTAGGAAGAAACTTTATAATATTTACTTGATGCAAAGTGTGTTTTCTGTTCTTACAATATGGAGAAAAATGCTCAGCATGTGCATTCCTCTACCTCTGTTTTGTACAAAAATAATAAAATTTGTTGAAACTCTCTCTCCAGACAAAATATTTTTAAATGAGCAGTATATTATTTATTGGGTTCTGTTCCCTTAAAATACTTAGCTTTGCCATCTTTAAAAGCTGATGAATGGGTGAGGGGCGGGGAGGGGGTGGAGAAAGAGTCACAAAACACTCAGGAGAAGCAGAAGTATAGAGATGGTAAGCAAAATACAGATGTCCTCATTAAGAATAGTAAATAGAAAGCTGAGCTCTGTTTTTCTTTAAAATGTATTCGCTTTTTGCATTGCTAGCTTTTTACAAGTTTCCAGTGCAAACTTTCCCAGGATACTAGTTTTGGATGCTGTATATGAAAACAGTTAGTTGTAGAAATGTATGGATTATGTTGTGTACAATATTATATCTCTAAGGGTAAGATGCCTTTAGTGTATTAAAATTCTAATAATCTGTAGAATGGGGTAAAATATTGTACTCTGTACATGCTGAATACACTACAATAGATGTGTGAGCATAGTTTAGTAATACAGCAAACTACTTTGCTTTTTAAAACATGGGGCCCAATTCTGAAGGATCAGGCCCTGTATTTTATGGCTTCTTTTTAAAAGTACACTTTTGGGGTTTGATTTAGCCTTTCACCAGTGTAACCCTACCAACCTCTGTGGAGTTATTCCTGATTTACACAGTATAAGTGAGAAAAATTCAGCTCGCATGTCTTCCTGATTTGTTTCATGCTCTGTATCCTTGTCTGGTGTCTGTAATATTTAAAGTAATTTCATGTGAATACAAACATAAGGCTAGTGATGATCTTCTAACTTGTTAGTCAAAAGTTGACTTAGCAGCTATCCGTTTAACTGTAGAAATCCATTGATTACATAGGTTTTGATGAAGTATGTAGTTTTTGGTTCATTGTAAGGAATGATTTGTTTCAGGGTAGCACCCATGTTAGTCTGTATCTGCAAAAAGAAAAGGAGTACTTGTGGCACCTTAGAGGCCAACAGATTTGAGCATAAGCTTTCGTGAGCGACAGCTCACTTCCAATGAAGTGCGCTGTCGCTCACGAAAACTTGACTAACCAATTTATTTGAGCATAAGTTTTCGTGAGCGACAGCGCACTTCATTGGAAGTGAGCTGTCGCTCACGAAAGCTTATGCTCAAATTTGTTGGCCTCTAAGGTGCCACTAGTACTCCTTTTCTTTTTGTAAGGAATGAGTTTCCCGCCAGCACCTGCAAAGTGAAAATGCTATCATGTAACAATTTTGCTGCTCTGTCAGAAATTTGTAATGTGTTCTGACCAGTATATTTGAGAACTGAATAGTCAAGTTTTTTCAAAGCAATTGAAAAAAACCTATAATTTCCTTTCTTAATGCCTTATTTTATAAAGGAACTTGTATCTTTAAAAATGTGTTAGAATTTTATACAAGGTCAAGGGGCTAGTAAACCCTAGAACTTCTGCTCTTATGATATGAGAGGTAATATGCAGAACATGTATTTAAAATATTCCTAAATCTGTTTTCTGGACCTTAACCTCAGAAAATGGAACAGCAGTATAGGTTGTACTGTAAGATTGAAATATTCATACTTATCCTTAGTCAAAGACCTCAGAAGGTCAGTGTCTTAATAATTGATTTGATGTTACTCAACTAATAAACTCAATGAATTGTTGTCTACAGTCAAAGTAGTTCATAATTCTACTCATTCCTGAATATCCTATAGTAAGGATCCTTCTTATGGTAAACTTAATTAGCTCTTTGAAATATTATTTTTATTTTTGTGCTACATTCCTTGAAAATCTTCTCCAATAAAAGACTCTTAAATACAAAATCATGATGTGTTTAATTTTGGTCAGTGAGTCTGACTTCTTTTAAATGGATTAACTGATGTTACCTGTGTGAGCACCAGGAATAAGAATCTAAATATTTGATAGAATGTAAAATTTAAGTTTCTTTGCTTTGGAATAGTAAGCAAATTCTTACAAACGTTAACATGGTTATTTAAGTTTTTAATCATGAAAATGATTTTTCAAGACAGGTGCAACTAACATCCAGGTATTGGTTTTTTTTAAACTGTGAGGTTTTGTTTTATGATGACACTTTTCAAGTAACAAACTGGGACCTTTGTATTTCTTTTACTAAACTTAGTTAGATACATTTCCCAATTAGATGCTATATTGTCCTCTGTCTGGAAGCTTTTACTTCTCTAATGGTATTAGGTTTTTTCTATTCTGCTGCAGTCCAGTCAGATGTTTTGAGGTGGGTTGTAGTTTTGAATGAAACTAATATATATGCAGGATCTCTTTAAATCACCCCAGCTGTTGGCTAAGAGCAAATATTTCATATTTGTGAGGAAAAGCTGAGAAAATTCCTTTTGTTTACAACTGCCAAGTCCATCTGATGGAGGCACATTGTTATCTGACAGCCAATTAATCTCCTTGGGATTCTGGAATCCCAAACCATTTCTTAGGAAACTTATGGATACTCTCGTCAAACGTTTCCCTTTTCATACATAAAATAGCGAGGCTGTTGTGTTTAAGGATGCATAATCTTTAAATGTAGAATGCCACATTTCTTAGTGAGCAAGCCTAGCTACTGTCAGATCATTTTTGATGTAATATACCGGTTTTAATATTGTGAACAAAGTGCCTCCGAGCCATTGGCTGTGGCTTACTTTTAGTTTGTTTATAAGCTAGTTACATAAACATAGATATCATCTGTGTCAAATGTAATGTCTTTTGGTTGTGCTAAAGTTTTTAATGAGAATTCCAAATATTACATATAAGATATATTAAGTAATTATCTAACGACTTACAAAGAGGATCACCCTCTCTTCTTCCCTTCCCCAGATAAATAAATCTCCAGATTCTCTGAAATATGAGCTGCTCAACTTGAACTTGCAGACCAATAGTTTCATAAATACTCCTTATGCAAATGAACCCATGTCTTCCATGGAGTTGCTTGGGAGAGTAAGGACTGGTGTGAGTACTATTTTGCAGGTTCATTTCTGCAAGGTGCTGATACCCTTGTATCCCATTGACATAACTGGGAGTTGAAGGCACACAGCACTTTGCAGAATCAAACTTTGTGTGGAGAAGAGCAAAGGGAAAACATTCCATTTCTCGAGCCCTTTCTAAAGCAAAAACAAAATAAACTACCAATGAAGTGTCAATACAACTGTAGATTAAATAACATCTTGATTTAAACAGTTAAGAACTTATTTCCAGCCATAATACAGTTTCATTTAATAAGAAATAACATTGTCGTATAATATTATGCACATATGGTGTTATGTACAAACCTCTAACAAGACCCCCATTTACGTTTTGGAAAGTTAACTATAAATTCTGTGGCATTCTAGTGGACATTTCATGACTGCGTCAGATTTAAAAATTGTTTTTTGTTTAAATAAAAATGAATTAGTCATTAGAGTAGTCCCATCTTTTTATATTAAATGCAGTTTATTTTACGCCATCTCTGCATTCTTGGTTCTCAGTTGGCTACAGATATTTGTATTGATAATGCCTAACTGCACTATAGAATCTAATGGGACAAGGGAGTAATAGAAACTGAACATTTTAGCAGTTAGGAGGGGACATGGAGCTTTTGGTCCGGAAAGCCTGAGAGGAGGGAGTTAAGGATTGTGAGGTAAGCACCTTAACTGGATGTTTCTGCTCAAGTGATAAGCAGGGAAATAGTTAACTGTTGATATGGAAACTGTTGTTTTAGGCATCAGTGTTCACAGACCATTTTGATTAGGGCAGTTTATGCCTCTCGGCCATTGTTTCAGGGATATGAACAAATTCAGGAAGAAATTACCACACCTGGTAACACTCGATTCATGTTTACAAATATAAGGGCTAGAAATGTTTGAATGGTACCTAGAAACCCCTTAATTATGTGAGTAGCCCCACAAATGTCAGTAGGACCAGTTGAAGAGCATGGGGGCCAGAGTGTGGAGCGAAAGGAGCATGTGAGAGGATCAGAATCTGGCCTATAGAGGGTTTTTTTAATGGAATACTTGAATTATGGAGCTCAATTATGTACCAAGGAGTAAACTCTGGACACTTCCGTTGCCGAGGAAGAGGTGTAAATTGCTAACAATCACTTTCTCTAGGCCTGTATTAAAGAATAATCAAAAGCGTTCTGTGTAGATTTTTTTTTTGGCTTTGTTTTTTATCGGGGTAGTAGAAAGAATGCAAGACGAATAAGTAGAGCAAGACTTCAGCTTCCAACAGGCAACTGTCTAGTGTTCTTTTATTGAGATTTACTGACCAAAATGGAAAACTAGGAAAGATCATGATCAAGTCATGCCATATGTCCAGAGGATGTCTTCCATGGGTGAGGAAATGCTCACTGGGGGAAGCAGCAGGCTGCTGAGAGAAGAATTGGTGGTTATGACTTCTCCCCTTTCTGAAGATGTAGTGCAGAATGTGACGGGCAGAAGTACTCCTTTAAAATGACAATGCAAACACTTATGCACATTCATAACTTGAGCTGCAT